TTGGAGTTTGATAGCTCCCAGCCAATACTGAGTGCTGAAAAAACACTTCAGGGTAAGTCAGTCATCAGTGAAGCTCCTTTTTCACGTATCAACAGCACACAGGAGTGTGAATCCATTAAGTGAATTACAAAGGGGCCCAGGGCTCACAGAGGGAGCTAAGGAAAATACTATCTCTAAACAGCCTCTAACAAAACCTCCACAACATGCCTAATTACAACTTTTATTGATTTACATCTGAAGATGTAACAAGTTTTATAGCTCACTGGAGAACATTTTTGGACATGATCACAAACCTGAGCCCCATGTGAATGGCATTGCTTCACTTTCTACAGAGCAAAAGCAAGGCACAAAGATGCTGATGGAAAAGCAAGTGAACTGTCTTTAGAAAACACAAGGATCTTTCAACCTGGTAGAGGTAACAAAATATATTTTCAGGTAAGATCACTTCARCAACACAGATTGTTGGAAAATATCCCAAATCTACTGGGAATGAGCATCAGGTGTTGTMAAGCAGGATAAAGGACAGCTGTTAGCTCCATCTGGAGAATCCTGCTCACTATAATTAAGGATCAGTAAAGGAAAGTGAAGATTCCTAGATTTAAAAGGGATTCTTGGTGAAGAGATATGGATAATCTGTTAAAGGAAGTAAAAAGAAAGATTGTTAGAGTAGGTGATTTGGTGAATAGCTTTCAAAGAGACGAAGGCACTATTTAATTGAGAGGGCATAAAATTGGGAAAATTAGGTAGCAAGGTTAAATGCCAAAAAAGTGAGATAAACTAGGCTTTGCTTATCAGCAGGCCCTTTAAATCAGACCTAATTTGATAAGCATAATAAAAGGGTCTGTGACCCTTAAATTCCTAGATCTGGGGGAGGTAGGGTCCATAAATAATGCTGTGGTCTCCTCTAGACTTCATGTATTTTATAGCAATGACTTGAGAAGCTGACAAGTTTTTTATATTATTTTTAATTCTTTTTATTTTGATTATATTTAGATTTTATTTAGATTATCTCATCTAGTATAATATCATATTCTACCACTATCCCCACTGTCACCAYCTCTACCACCCTGACCCTCGAACACTGATCCTTGTTCATACTCTACAATTTCCTTTTTGTCTCAAAATACCACAATCTGAAATTCTAATCTGCTTCTCAATGTTCCTGCAAAGGGGTGACAACTTGCATGCAGTATTTGACAGCAGGTTTCCATGTAGAATTTCAAAGCTCAGCAAAAGGTTTCTTATACTCTGTGGTGAACAGGATAATTTTTGTCATTCAGAAGATAAATCTGAGCTATCTGTACGTACAGAAACACTAAAATGAGAACATATGTTGGAGACAGGTATGCTGTAATGAGACCATATTTTATTGAATTCCAGATTTCCACTCAGGATGTAGAAACCACAGGCACAATTATTTCCTGCTAGCACAGTGACCACAGATAAAACTCGGATAAGTAATTCCATCTAGCCTGGTGCATTATGCTTTACCCTTTCAGTGCAATTTTATGTAAACATTCTTACATACAGAAAAGCTATAGTTTTAAGCAGTGAGTCAGACACYGGGTCTCTAATATATATAGGATTTAGAAGTATTGTTATTGTCATTATCACATCTACTATACTTGCAGGATTAGAACTTCAAAGAAGAGCCTGCCAGAGGAAAATGCAGGAAATGTTTGCATTCCTGTATGATTCCATCATCCAGGGGCCTGTAATGGTGAAAGCACCCTTCAGCAGATGTTGTTTGAAAGGTCAGGTTAAATCTTTATACACAACAGACATTTGTTTCATTTCTTCACTTTTTAGTTATTGATTGTAAGTCTGAATTTTACAGCAAATCCTTCTGGTGTCTCTGCTATGACAACTCATACCAGCTGGAAACTTCTTGTAGCACTTTGTCCCTCTTCCCCTGGTCTCTGTCAGCTTTCCAAACATCAGTGAAATCACCCTTTCAATACCCCAACRAGGTTAAGGAGATAATTCTCTATATCTGTGTCCAAAGCACAGAGCAACCAGTTCTAATTAGCACTAAGGATTCTTTAGTTTATTTTGGCAGGATGTATTTACACTTCTCCAATCAAGGCCTCCTCACACTTTTGAAAACATCATGAAGACAGACTAAGTCTCTTTAGTTGAATCTCATCTGTATGAAGTGACTAAATTGYACAATTGTCCTTTGTGTTCTGCTAGGAATTGAATCCAGGTGTCTTGAGAATAAGAGACTCTCTTTGTCTATTAGCTATACAAATAAATGGTATTGATTATTTTTTATCTCCTTGGAAGTTTTTCCCATATAAATTTGGACAGTACCTTCTGTATATTTTCCTGTGAATTACATTTAAATTACACCTCAGTGCTATGGTCATACTTGAAACAGAATTTTACACTTTTGCACTGTATTTACTGTTTCATATTCTGTTCAGAGGATACTTTACCGTAATTCCCACCTAATAGACCTTCTAGATGAGTGCCAAAATGTGCATTTTGTAGCCATAATTTCCTTTGTTTTTTTTCTCCCCCTTTTATGTGTATTTTTCAAAAGCAAGTTCATTCCCAAATATATACTGCTAGTAGTATTAGCAAACTAATTCTGTTTTATACTTATTATTTTGGGGGGCATGACTATGGTGATTTGCTAACTCTGCAATTAATTCTGCCTTAATTGCAAAGAGTTAGTAGGTTCTACTTCRAAGCTAAGAAAGCATTAAATACCACCAACCATAAGCAAGCTTCCCTAATTTCTGCTGCACACGTATCAAGAGGAAAAAAACAGGTAAGTACTATTAAGTTGATGTCTCTCTTGCAATGGAGTGACATTTTAGTGAGATTTGTTAGAAACAAGAGAAAAAAAAAAATGGTGCAGCCTGTGAAGCCCACCTAATTCATATGACAAGTTAATGGGATTTTATACAGCACTGTCATTTCAGTGCCATATGCTACCCTTTCCTAACAAACGTGATCAAATTTTCTGTTGCAACRCATATAAAACATCCATGTGGATGCACCACAATTGCAACCACTTATGCAAAGTTGAAATCACTGAGTCTGGTGACAGTTATTAGACAGACAGTCAAGAAGAGATGGCTGTGCCTAGAGGGAAAGAGGGTAAAAGCAGAGGTCTGCTGCCACAGGTGAAAGYATTACCTTGCTTTGGCCTGAGACAAAAGGAATGAAAAATAGGAGCTGCTGTCTTGAGGCAAAATATCTTCAGCATCTTACCTCTTGCTGGGAGCTCTGAGCTTAGGAGGATTTGGRAGTCAGAATCCCCCGCATCTCCCAGAGATTAACTGATATGTTTGTCTTCCCCGTGGAGACACTTTCCAGATGATTTTCTTGCCCTGAAGTCTGTTCTTGCATAGTAGCTCCAATTAAAATCCTGATGCAGCTTTCTCTTTTATAACATTTAAATGTGTGGTGTGATAATACTGAAACCCCTGAACAATGAAATGGTGTACTTCTACCTACTCTCTGTACTTCAGTGCCTGTGAAAAGGTCAGATTTCTATTGTCTCCAGACCTGTTACCTGCTAGTAAGATCTTTGGCCCTGCTTTATTTTGGATTTGCAAGATGCATACAGGGAAGGACAGAAGATGATCTATGTAAAAAAATTCAGAGACAATAACCACACTATGGCCCCTCTCCCCTTCTAMAAAGTGTTTTTAATTCAAACAAGTAATTTAGAATATGCACCTATGGTGAGAAAGAACTAGGCAACTACAAAWGGAAAAGAGGACATCATGGAGTTTTTCAGTTAGAGGAAGGAAGTCTTTATTTATACAGAAGGACTTGTTGAACTTTGTGAAATGCAAGCTTAGGTTTGTGGTAGTTTTCCTGTTGCGACTGCCACTTTTCAGCTGCTCAGCTTCTCCTCCCTGATGGGAACTTTTTATAAAGGATAGAACAAATCATGTGAAACTACAAACACTCCGGGACAGTGGGGGCTGTTGRAAACTAAGTGGCYTTCTGGAACAGTTGTGGAAAGTTTGGCTTTAAAGCAAGAAGCCTGACACCCTTGCTCACCCATCTTCACTTGTGGTCTCATGTTTCAAGGATTCCTCAGCATCAGCCAAGCCATCTGATACTGCAAAAGAATGGGTTTATTACAGTGCTTAGCATTTTAAGAGAACCAAGTACGTTGTGGAACCCCATACGTTGCAGGTCTCAGTTTATGTTTGTATGTTTGTGTACTCAGCTAACAGCTGAGAATAAAAAGTAAAATGAGGGCCGTTTTCAGAATCTACGGGGGCCTTTTTGACAGCTTTACTTCATGTCTCTTGGTCTGTGGAAATACGACTTTCCCGTTTCGAGGCAGCTCCTTCTCACGCAGTCCAACTGCAAACAAAATTAAAAACAAAATCCTACAACTTCATCGCTTTCCCGCTTTGCTTAACGATATTCTGCACAACACTCTCGCTGCTGGCCAGACAGCCGACATAAAAGAATAGATACAAAACACACAAAAAGTGGGTGAAAAAAACAGAAAGAAAGAAGGACTTTATTGTGGGACAAGCCTCTTTTATCCACTTTAGCAACCAGTGCATACATTTGTGTCAAACATACATTGGTCAGTGAGGCTGTCACTTTCTACTCAACAGCACAGGATTGGTAGGTTTGCAAAAGCTACAGTATTAGTAATGTTTATAATTGTAAGCCACCTGCATTATCAATTCTACATTCCAATCTTCTTTTTCTCAAGACAGCCAAGGACGTGGCGTTTTATTCCCATGCAGGCTGTTAACACTCCCTACACAACACCACGCGTCTCACCCGCTTCTGGACTCTCGCTCCGCTGGTGTTTATGCGCACAACGCTCCCGGGTGTCCCATTCTCATTCTCCGTGAGGCGGSCCGGGCTCCATCCCCTCACGGCACGGAGCGGAGCCGCGGAGCCAAAGGGCGCAGGCGCAGACAGGCACAGCCGCCGCCATGTCGGGAGCGGAAGCCGGGCCGGGCCGGGGGAGGGCGGCAGCGCGGCTCAGCCCACAGCGGGGAGGGMGCGGGGGAGGGACGGGAGCACCGCGGCGGCGGCAGCGGGCAGCATTCGCCGCAGGAGCCGCCGCCGGAGCCAGCCGGGCTATCCCGCGCCCTCCGCAGCGCTCGCCGTCYGCCTCGCCGCCCCCGCCGGGGAGGCTGCGGGAGCCGGGCGGGGAAGATGCCCCTGGCGCAGTTGGSGGACCCTTGGCAGAAGATGGCTGTGGAGAGCACGGCCGAGAGCAGCACCGAGGTACGGGGCGGACGGGGGGGGGGTGGTGCGGGAAAGTTGTGAGGAGAGGACGGGACTGGGACTCCCGGTGCCGCTGTCGCTCAGGGGATGGGCAGAGTTTTTCCCCCGGGAGCTTTCGGGACGGCTGAGGGGCAGCGGGGCCCTGCACGCCGCTTCCTCTCGGGGCACTGACTCACGGCCGGCACCGGCCGGGACTCCCCCGCCCGCACCGGGCTCGGGGCGTGTTTCCCGGGACCGGGCTGCTCCCTCCCCTTCCGCCCCGTTCCCGGGAGGGAGTAACCTGCCTCCGCGGCGCCCGCCGGCTCGGGCGCTTTTGTTCCAGCGCGGTGTCTGGTTACTGTCACGGCGAGTTTCCCTTCCCAGGGCGGCCCCGCCGCTTCTGCCGCCGCGGCTTCGGGGTGGGCAGGAGGGCCAGGCCTGCTCTCGCCTTGCCCGGTGCCCTCGCCTTGCCCGGTGCCCGGTGCCCTCCCCTTGCCCGGTGCCCTCCCCTTGCCCGGTGCTCTCCCCTTGCCCGGTGCTCTCCCCTTGCCCGGTGCTCTCCCCTTGCCCGGTGCCCGGTGGTGCTCTCCCCTTGCCCGGTGCTCGGTGCTCTCCCCTTGCCCGGTTCTCTTCCCTTGCCCGGTGCTCCCCGTGCCGGTCCCCGCCCGGTGCCGCTGCCCCCTTATCTCGGCAGGATGGAGTTGCCGGCAGTTTCGCAAGCGTTTGGGAAACCGCAAGGACGKGAAGGGTGTTGAGGCATGGGTGAAGCTTTGTACTCGGCGGCRTTGCCGGGAAGGTCCCCGGGGTGCCGCCAGTGTGGGTTCCCGCTGTGGTAAGCGAGGCGTGTGTCTTGAGCCTGTCCTTGTTAGGCAGGACGCGTGTCAGCTTTCCTGGGCTGGGATAACGAGAGCGGCTGCAAATTCGCGTCACTTGCGACCGAGGCTATAGAAGCTTTCGGCTATTTTAATTTTTTTTTTCCTGCGACTTTGTTGTTTGTATCTATGTGAACATTGCACCTACACAGTCAGTTGTGCTGGCTCCGTGAGTCCCTAGTATACCACAGTGCGT